CTAGTCTTTCTCCTGGGTAGATGTGACTTTTGCACTCTTCCATGTATGGGAGAGCACCAGGTTGCATCGAAAACAAAGGACTTCCTGCAACAGGAGATGAGACCAAAGCCTAGAAGTAGAAGGAAAAATAAAAATCATTTTGATACTGTTTCCTGTATAAAAGTAGAGTATGAGAACATTGGTTATTTTTATAGAAACACTGCAGTAAGCTCTACAGATGGATTGAAAAATAATTAGACCCCCTGAGTCCAGTCCCCATCACACAGTGTTGCAGGATACTGTTGGATGCTCTCCTGTTGATGCTGTTGGTGAACTGTAAGCTGAGTCCACCCGGTAGTAGGGCAAGTCATCATTATTTCATCTGTTTTGCCTTTTATAGTGGCCTCTGTAGTAACCTTCTCTAGGAACAGCACTTCTCCTCCTGTTTTCTCTCATGTGATGTAGGTTCCCAGTAGGTGTTCATAATTGTCTAGTTATTCATAAAAAATTAATGGTTTTAATAATTTATAGCAGTCTGAAACCAAAACTGAGGAAACTTCATTTCTTCTTACAAATATTCTGTATTGTTTCTGTTCATAAATACTGTTTCGCTGGATTAATTAAAGCCACAAAAACCTGATTTAATAGGCAATAATGGTCTACATCTTCCCGTACTCCAAAGTCAAATAAATTTCTTACATTTTATTCTCTGAGAACCAGCATATTCTGCTACTCCTCTTAGATGTTGTTACCCAGATTTTCCTAACCGAGCTGATAGTGAGTTGTAATATGTGGTTATTACTAATGAGCAAGAGTCAGTTTTATTTAAGCCCCAAGGTTGGGTGAATCTAGACCTCGTAATGGTAGTCATTGACTGGATATCAGTCAAACCAAAGTAATTTGTTGAGATTTAAAAAAAACATCTGCATAATCACTTTTAGGGTATTTCTTGAGAATTTTCTCAATTTGATCATGGAGATAACGACCACTGTTTATGTCTATACTGTTTTTCCTGGTTTTAAGTGCCTCATCAACAGAAATTGTCGTCTACTCTCTTGTAGACTGTATTTTAAATCTAAATTCAAAGTGAGAAGTTTTCCACAGCTTTACTGAAAGTGTGACTAAATTGGTTTCAGTAGAATACCTGCCTGGGAGTAAAGTTATTAGAATCAGCTCCTTGAACACAATCAGATTCTTTCATTAGAGGACATACCCAGAAAAGGCCTATCATACAGAGAATTATCCCTGGTAATGATTTACTGGGACCAAGTTAGCAAAGGCCTTGAAAACTCTGAATCAAGCTGCACTGGGAGAGGAGCCTAAATTAGGCTCTGAATGGTGGCTAATTAAAAGTAGTAGTCAGGAATGGGTCTGCACATTGTTACACATTCTGAGCTCTGACCTTGTTAAAAAAAAAGTTAGCAATATGCATTTCAAAATGTTAGTACTTACAAAGCACTATTCTTAGTGGAAGTAGAATTCAGATGAGGTCCCTGCCTTCAAAAGAACTTACCTGGGGCCTTGGCCAGGTTGTCCAGTTGCTTAAGGCATCATCCTGATATGTCAAGGTGGCGGGTTTGATCCCAGGTCAGGGCACATACAAGAATCAACCAGCCCTGGCTGGTGTGGCTCAGTGGATTGAGCGGCCTGCAAACAAAAGGGTTGCTGGTTCGATTCCCAGTCAGGGCACATGCCTGGATTGCGGGCCAGGTCCCTAGTAGGGGTCATGTAAGAGGCAACCACACATTGATGTTTCTCTCTCTTCTTTTCTTCCTCCCTCCCCTTTTCTCTAAAAATAAATAAATAAAATCTTTAAAAAATAAAAATAAAAAAGAGAATCAGCCAACGAGTGCATAAATGAGTGGAACAACAAATTGAAGTTTCTTTCTCTTCCCTCTTCCCCTTTGTCTCTAAAACCAATAAATTAAAAAAAAAAACTTACGTGAGTTCACACAAAAATGAGTGGAGCTCATGGAAAGCCTTGCACGTGGAAGTGGCCTGTCTCTCCCCCAGGGTTACGGTCTCGAACATTGGAACTGAGTGGAAGAGTGGCCCCAGCAAAGGCGGGAGTGCCAGCTAACCTGGTGCTGTGACTAGAGACGGGCCCGCTTTTCTTTTTCATTATGAGCGCTTTTAAATACACACGTAGATAGAAGGACTGAGGCAGTCAATCCCGATTTAGTCCTCCCTCAGATTCAGTAATCATCAAGACTTTGCTAAATTTGTTTAATCTATTACATTTTATTTTTCTTGCTATTGTATTTTAAAGCAAATTTCAAATATCTGTCTTTCAATCCTGTGTACTTCAGTATGGACTTTAAAAAATATGGCTGTTTTCATGTATAATCACAATGCCACCAAAAATTAACAAAGTTTACAGTAATTCTGTGGTATCATCTCACAGAGGATGTCTCTTGTAAGCCCCATTTCAGGCCGTGCTTGCCATTTTTGGTGTCTTCAAGGCCTTTGCTGACTTGGTCCCAGTAAATCATTACCAGGGATAATTCTGTATGGTGGGGCTTTTCTGGATGTGTCCTCTAATGAAAGGTCTGATCATGTTCAAGGAGCAGATTCTCATAGCTGTACTTTCAGGCAGGTATTCTACTAAAACCAATTTAATTACACTTTCAATAAAACATGGAAAACTGCTCAGTTTGAATTTAGATCTAAAATATAGTCAGAAGGAGCTGTCTCTGTGATATACCTTGTGTGATAGCACAGAGGACTTCTAGCCCAGTCTGAGGTGATCATTCAGAAAATGTGTAGTCAGAAGGTGTGATGGTATTTGATAATCAAGGCACAAAAAGAACTAAACATGGCTGAGTTTTTATGGCTCTTGCCATTGATAGTTTGACTCTTCTTATTCTTCCCTGCTTCAACTACTTAACCACTGAAATGCAATTAATTTACACTTATGGAACTACCAATAATGCAGCCTTTTCACTCCAGTATATGACCACATATAGATGCATATCCCAAGATATTCTGGGAACTAGAAGAAGAAAAGTGGGCAGCCTAACAGTCATGTAGATGCTTGCTTCTTCCCATCGGGGTAGAGTAGGTCTGTGGATTTGTAATATTTCTAACAGTATATTCATTTAAACTAAATACCATTATTGCGGTACATATTCATTGACCAAAATGAACTCATTATCTTTCCACGTTTATCTCAGTGTTTCCTGTCTTGGTCAGTGGCATCATTGTCCTTCCACACAAGAAATTCTACGACTTCCCTCGATTCCTACTGCTAGTTGGTTGGTCATCTTTGCAGGAGCTCTGTTGATGTCATTCTAGGTATCCAGCCCTAGATTTTTACTGCACATGTGAATCCTTAACAATAGCTTTAAATTTGCCTCAGTCTGTCAGTTGTTTTTCCCACCAGTCCATTAGCTCATTACTGCTGGCTGCCATTCTAAAATAGAAACTTCATCCCAATCACTTCTTTGTGCACAAGTCTCTGTACATTCTTAGTCAGCGACTCACTAAGAGCCAGGCATACACAGAAGTGCTCTGTGCCTCAGCCACACTAGACTACATGCTGTTACTTCACGGAACCTTTTTCTCCCCTGCCCTGCTCGTATTGCCCATCTTCTGGAATGCTGATAAGTGGTGGAGGGGAGATGCCAGCGTATGTGCTTTCATTTACTATACTGAATAAATAAAGGTTATGAGGAAGTTTTAATTGTTTCTTTTGGCTTTATCAAATCCATATGAAACTGTAGATCAAAAATATTCTTAAAAAAACTTTTTCCTCAGCTGGTATAGCACAGTGGATTTGACTGAATGTGGGCCTGTGAGCCAAAGTCTCACTGGTTCGATTCCAAGTTGGGCACATGCCTGGGTTGCCGGTCGGGTCCATGGTGATGTTTGAGAGGCAACCACACATTGATGTTTCTCTCCCTCTCTTTCTGCACCCCTCTCTAAAAATAAATAAATAAAATCTTTAAAAAAAATACAAACTTTTTATACCCCCTCTCCCAAGAACATTTTTTTTTTCATTGTTTTGAGAGGGGGGGAGGGCAGAGGTTGGGAGAGAGGGGGAGGGAGGGAGGGAAGAGAGAGAGAGAGAGCGAGAGTGCGCACTGGAGTAGGAGCGGGAATGTGTGCTTGAGAAAGAAAAAGAAACAGCCTTCTCATACATGCCCCAACTGGGGATTGAACTTGCAACCTGGGTATGTGCCCTGATAGGGAATTGAACCCGCCATCTTTTGTTCCACAGGACTGTGTTCCAAACAATTGAACCACATTGACCAGGGCAAAATATTCTTTTTCTTTTCTTATTTTATTTTATTTTATTTATTTATTTTTAGAGAGAAGGGAAGGGAGAGAGAAACTGAGGGAGAGAAACATCGATGTGCGAGAGAAACAGAGATGGGTTGCCTCTGGCATACCCCCAGCCAGGGACCTGGCCATGTGCCCTGACCAGGAATTGAACTGAAGTTTTGGTTTGCAGGATCACTGCCCAGCCCACTGAGCCATAACCAGTCAGGGCCAACAGTATTTTTTAATACAGTTTCTGCAATTCAGTACTGCAAGGATTTAGAGTCCCTAAGTTTTATAGTGATACCAGTTACCTCCCTTGAATATCTAAATTCTGCCTTTTACCTTAAACAACCTTTGTTGTTTATTACTCTTTGTGGCAGGGAGGAGGAGGGTGTGAAAATAAAGGAAGTAGGTTTCAGTCAGAGAGAGGGAGAGAAACACCTTGATATGAGGTTATCAAACACCAGCTGTTTTGCGGTTTGTTAAGGAGGAAATACAGTTCTGCCAGAAAAAAAGAACTTTTCATTTCAAAATAAGATTCTTTGTTGCATTAACATCTTATACATTCTGTTTCAAAATGTAAAACTAATAGTAAAGTAGGAATCTTCAGTTGTCTTAGTAACTGTAATTTATTGTTTTAATGAGATCTTTTAAGATTCACCTGTTTTAGTCATTAAAAGAATAATTTTTATATTTGTATAGACTTCCCAGAAAATTATCATTCAAATGTTATTTCACATGTTTTTATTTATTTCTAGACAAAAGAAGTTAGAAAAAGTGATGGAGGAAGAAGGCCTAAAAGATGAAGAGGTAATTAAAATCAGAATTTTTTTTTTCCTTGATACTCAGCACGGCAGGTCACATCTTGTTCAGCAAATTGCTAGCCTTAGTGCACAGGGAAGGCTTTTGGCGCAGTGACAGAAACTTAGGAGGGCTAGTGTGCTTCTGGGTTTAGGCATTCATGCAGAGGGAGAAGTTAATTATCAAGCATTCAGGAGGGGAAGATTTTTCTAGTTCTATAGTTAAAATAAGTTCATTAGAATTAATTTAGAATCCTAACAAAAGGAAGAGATGAAACCAAATTAAAAAGTTAAAAGCAAATTATAGCATACTTGCAGAATTCACTGAAAAGGCTCCATAGAAATGGGACAAATTTCTGAAATAGTTATTAAGGAAAAAGATCTCTCAAATCAGCCCTTTTCTCCAATGCCCACAGATGTGATTGGAGAAAATACAGTTAACAAGAAACTGCAAGGAACTGAAATGGCAGAGGAAATGCTTTAAAAAATAGGAATGACTCACAGAACCCAGGAAAGTGGTGAAAAAATATCCCAGATTTGTAGGGATAATAGAAAACTAGAGTGTAAAATGAACTGCAATGAGTAAAAATCCCAGAGAGAAATTTAAAAGCACTCACTTTTATTTTCCGTAACAAAGGTTAAAGGAAAATGTTGTTGGTTGTTTATCCCTCCTTCATTAGCAAGGTTAGACCAGAAGATCACTGAGGAAGCACCCATCTGTTGACTATGGTCTGGTTATTGTGTCTGAATGCCGGGAGGGGAGGGTCCTTCTGTAGTGCTTTCGTGTGTGAAAAATTAAGCTTGTTTTCCAGATGGTTCAAGTCACAAATAGGATTTTGCTGCAGAATTTCAACTCCTCACCCTCCCATTCCTCTCTCCTTTTGTTTATTTAAACCTTAGAAACGACTCAGGAGATCAGCTCATGCTCGGAAGGAAACAGAGTTTCTTCGTTTGAAGAGAACAAGACTTGGATTGGAAGATTTTGAGTCCTTAAAAGTAATAGGCAGAGGAGCATTTGGTGAGGTAAAAACAAAACAGAACCCCACAGCCAAAGCTACTTACCCCGTGCAGAAATGCCACAGCACTTCGAAGCTTCTAATGTACCAAGAGCTTGTGACTGTTGATAGACCTGCATGGGGGAGGTGGGTCGAGCATGCCAGCCCCACATCCTAACTGCTCTGTCTGTCCTCTCCTCCCTCTCTGCTGTCCCAGATCTCCATCATTGTGCTCCCTCTTCCAGAGATGATGTTGATGCTTTAAGTATTGATCTAGAGGGAGATTTGAAAGGTAGAAGGAAATCAGTAGTTGTTATTGATTGTGTTTTTCTGCTATAATCATGACTGTAACTCATATTATAGGTGACTTGGAGCATGTACTGTTGTGGTGTCACACAGCCATTGAGCATGTGGTACCAGAAGTTGGCCCAGGCTTTCTGATATTTTTAAAAATTTCAATTTATTGATTTTAGGGAGAGAGAGGAGTGGGGGAGAGAAAAACATTGATTTGTTGTTCCACTTATTTATGCATTCATTGATTGATTCTTGTATGTAATCTGACTGAGATCGAACCCTCAACCATGGCATGTTGGGATGATGCTTTAATTACCTGAGAGCTACCTGCCCGGGGCTCAGGTTTCCTGATCTTAAATCTCTTGTTTCCCCAGTACCACTCCACCCTTTATTTCTTCATGCCCTATCGGTACAGCTCTGAAACGATGGCCCTAGGAGACAGGATTTGTAGAAATGAGTTCTATAGGTAGTGGGAGAGAGCAGAAAGAATTTATAGCTTTGTCCCAGCTAGTCTTGCAGATATATCCTGCTTGGTCACAGGAGTGATCTGGTGGGGAGGATTTGAATGAACCCATGCAAGGTCATTCCCTAATGGAAAGCATCCAAAGTGGTTGACTTACTGATGCAATAGTTTCACTATTTTTGTATAAAAGGATCATCATGTTATTGAAAACCCATACCTCAGGGAGAACATAAGTGTATACAAAAGCACAGGTAGAAGATTAAATTGATCCCTCAGCATTGAGAATCCCTGTTGGCCTCTTACGAGAGGGAAACAGACAGTACCCCCTCTAAATTGCTTTCTGTTCAGTGAGGAAGGGACATGGGATTCAGTCAGGAAAACAAAGGTTCAGGAAGAAGAAAACATACATAGCTTGGGTGAGGAAGGGGAGAATGTCCATGGAATTGCCAAGAAGTTTTTTTTGAGGGGGGTTGTACAATAGACCATTAATTTTCTTTTCATCTATTTATCTATTCTCTCTTAAAAACATTGGAAAATTGACAGGAAAACTGCATAAACCTCTATTTCCCTAATTATACATTTTAGATTTTTTTCCTTCCAGACATTTTTTTTCTACACATGAGCTTTTGCTATTGTTTTAAACATTGTTGTAGTCATTTACTTAGGCTTTCTGAGCTGACTGCATGACATGTGCCATGGGTTTAATGAGCCCTTAAGTTAAAAAATGAGGGCTTTAAATTAGATTGTTTTGTTCAGCTAGGGAGCCAGAGCTGTTCATGTGTGGAGATATCTGAGGATGTCTCCAGCACTGACTTCCCTGGGCATAATGTATCCATGTTAATACATCAAAAAGCACTTTCTTCCGCTTTGTTATTGCTAGTTGCTTATATAAATTGTAATACTTTTTCAGTTTAAATATTCTTATAACACATGAAAGCCTTAGTTTGGCATTGTAAACTTTTAACTTGGCATTTTTTAAATAACTTTTAGGTGCGGCTTGTTCAGAAGAAAGATACAGGGCATGTGTATGCAATGAAAATACTCCGTAAAGCAGATATGCTTGAAAAAGAGCAGGTAAAACGCAATTGTAGTAGGGATTTGAGTCAGCTTATGAACTTGTTGTCTCCTAAAACTGTTCTTTTTGCTTAATTGAAATGTATATTGTTATTAGTTTTCTTTAGCTCTGTCAAGTATGAATATATATATAATATTACTTTTCTTATTCCAACGAAGAAGCAGTTACATATATTTTAAAAGTATAAATAATACCTACATGTTTTGTGCAATCCTCTTGAAGTTGAGAACCTATCAGAAGCGCCTGCTGTTGTGGGTCCCAGTTGGCCACAGGGCATCCTTATGAGCCGCCTCTGAGGTAACAACTGATGTGGTAGCACGTTCTTTACTGAAGGCTGAGAGAGAGAAATTGCAGATACACTTTGGAACTGAGGCTTAGGAATTAGAATTTGGAATTTGCAATCTAAAATGTGTCTTACTATACTTTATTTTGTTCACTGCCATCAAAGCTGGGTCTTCTGAGTAAGCTCATCATTACCTGAAAGAGAACAGTCTTCCTCTTGAATGAATTTGAAAAAATATACAAACGGCAGAGCAGTGCACATTCTTTATTAATGATTAAGAACAATTTTTAAAACCTAAAAATATACATAAGTAGTTTGTGCAAAATAAATTTTAAATGTTAAACAATATATTAAAAACAAGAATGCAGACTTCCTGTAAATCTAGCTTAATTTAACTGGTTACTTAAGAACAAGTTGTAGTGAGTGATGCCCATAAATATCCTGTGAAAGATCAGATGCTGCAGGAGGGCAAAGAGAGGCCCTTCCCCTCTGGAGAGACAAGGAGAGCTCTGGGTGCAGAGCCCAGGGGTGGGGGAGGCGGGCCCCACACTCAGTCCTTTCTGCCTCTCGAGAGGAGGTATAATCACTGAGGTTTCATTTAAATTCCAGCTCCACACTGGGAATTTATATTTTCTATCTAATTTTCATGTTACCCAGAAACTTTAGACTCCCAGGAATTTCGATTGAGAGCATCAAATACCCTGACAGTAAATCTTCAGACATTAAAGTTTATGCTACCACCAACTTATTAAAAATGCACAGCAGCTCTGTTTATGTGTTATCTAAAAATTAGTATGTGGTATGGGTTTAAGCACCGAAGGAGTTTTAGCTGATCTTGAAAAGGAAACTGTAAAACTGTGTTGATTAGTTAGTATATTTTGTATTTCACAAGTAAGTTTTATTTTTACAAGCTATATTTCCTGTAGGTTTACCCAAGGTTCAAAATCTTTCTTTATCAAATGACCACACTCAAAATGAGATGGTAAAGAAGCACACGTCATGGCCCTCACGTACTAACCCTCAACAACCTGTGCCCGTTCCCCAGCATGGTGACTGGTGGTCCAGACATTGTGCAAAAATGTGTTCTCAAATGTGCCTCCTTCAAGATTAATTCCTAAAGCTTTTCTAAATGAAAGTAAAGGAGATATCTGTTAGGATTAGGATTTGAGTCCACCTTGCCATTGGACTCAGCTCCCTGGGTTTGATCTCAGAATGGTCCAGTGAGGGTTCTTGGCCACAGTCTCTGTGGGCCACCAACTTGGAGAAGCGAACAGTTGCGCCAGGTGGAAGTGGAAGTAGACCAGTGCAGGTTCATCGCTTTTGGGTGCGGCTGACAAAGTTCAGGTTCAGAGCCTAACTCTTTTCAGAGAAAAAGTTTTTTGTTTGCTTTTATTAAACCGAGCAAGAATTAAAGCTACCCACAGAAAATTTAGGTTGTTATTTTGTCCCACAGGGTGGAAATTTTTGCCACCTGGAAAATTTTAAAGGACAAGAGACCAGCATTTAGCTAGTTTGTTCATGTTTCTCTTTCAGTGAAAAAGGAAAACCTCTAATTGTGATGCCGGTCGTAGTATTAGGGTGGGACAAAAGACTGACTTGTATCTGTTTCACTAGTGCCCAGGGTAGCAACTAGCATGTAAATTCCCCACCCCATTAAATATTTATGGAACAGGGGACAGGAACTGGAACCTCTGGTGTGAGTTGTACCTACCCTTACCCTACTCTACTCCTAGATCTTTTTTTTTTTTTAATTTAGTTTTAGAGGGAGGGGAAGGGAGGGAGAAAGAGAGGGAGAGAAACATTTTAATTGGTAGCCTCTCAAATTCCCCCACCTGGGAACCTGGCCTGCAACCCAGACATGCACCCTTACTGGGAATGGAACTAGCAACCTTTTGGTTTGCAGACCAGTGCTCAGTCCACTGAGCCACTCCAGCCAGGGCTCTACTCCTTGATCTTGAGGACCCTAGCTGCTAATTCAGCCCCAGGAGAGAAGGACAAGGTGAGCTTAAGAGACTATTGCTTTCCCCTTGACAAACAGGGAATGCTGTAGTCACCAGTCTATCCTCTAAGATGAGTGACAAGTGGTAATAGTAGTGCCTCACCTTTTCTCTTGCTCCCTGCAGTAGGGACAGGCCTTAACAGGAGCCAGGGGAAACAGAGGCAGGTGAAGGCTGCCTTGTACCATATTCCTGTCTGATAATGACTTGGTCAAAGCCATGGCTGCTGTTCAGCAAGTGGCATTAGTGTTTCCCAAAAGGTTGCTACTGTATTAAAGGTAGTAGCTTTACTGGAGTAAAGGCAGTAGCTTTACTGGACTTCGCCATGATTCATAGCACTGTTCCTTGTCACCCTATGTTCCATTTTTCCCACCTTCATGCTGTTAGTAGAGGTGTAAAAATGTTTCTATCATTTAAAAATTTATGGAACAATTTTAGTAGCTATTGGAAACTCAGTAAGTAAACTCAGATGCCTTCAGTCCCCTGGGAATTAGCATGAAAGAATGAGGCAATTTAGATATAAGATAGGAGAGGGGTAGGATTTGTATCCAAATGGAAGACTACCTGGCTTTACTAAAGACATTCCAATAAAAAAAAAGCATGTAGAACATTGTATCTAACCAAACAACACCTGTGGGCTGAGATGCCAAAAAGAGTGCTGGTTTGCAAACTTTGGTACATAGTTGCCTCTGAACACATCCTTAACTCAAGCCCTGTGGCACCTGTTAAGACCAAAATTTCTCTTCAAGGATTGGACTGGGCTTTATAAGTTTAGATTTTATTCAATCCAACTTTGCATTTTGTGATACTTACATAAGAGGAAAGGGGGCTGAATTTGATAATATGCAGCACTGTTTTGATTACCATTACATATTACAAGTAGATAAGGTAAATTTTACAATAAAATGTTTTTTAATGAATTCTACCTGTTCTCCCAAACCTTTGGCAACTTGGCCTCCTTAGCTAGATATTTCAGTAAGAGTAGAAAACTGGAAATACCATAAACTTGAACCTAAAACTTCTTTTAGGTGCTCATCCATTTCAATTCAGTAAGAACTGTTTGAGTACACATTCTGTGCACAGCAGCGTACTGTGGGTCAGTTCTCTGGAACTGTCAGCGAGGACACTGGCCTTGCACATGCATTTGCACACCTGAGCCCGGACTTTTTTTTTTAAGATTTTATTTTTTTATTTTTAGAGAGTGGGAAGGGAAGGAGAAAGAAATGGAGAGAAACATCAGTGTATGGTTGCCTCTTGAGCACCCCTTGTTGGGGACATGTCCGGTAGCCCAGGCCTGTGCCCTGACTGGGAATCTAACCTTGACCCTTTCTTTGGTTCACAGGCCTGTGCTCAATTTACTGAGCTACACCAGCCAGGGCTGAACCAGGACTTTTTAGAGAGTCTCATCTTGAGATTACTTTTATCATAAAAGATTACACTGGTCCCCCCTTATCTTCAGTTACACTTTCCGTGACTGTGGTCTGAAAATATTAAATGGAAAATTCTAGAATAAACAGTTCATAACTTTTAAACTGAGCACCGTTTTCTGAGTAGCATGGTGAAATCATACACCATCCTGCTCCATCTGCCTGGGATATGAATCCCTTTGTCTGTTGTATCTACACTGTATACATTACCCTACTGTCAGCCACTTAGTGGCCACCTCGGTTATCAGATTGACTGATGTGGTATTGCAGTGCTTATGTTCAAGTTAAAACCATTCACATAACTTTTTTCACATTATATTGTTATAATTGTATTTTATTATTAGTTATTGTTGTTAACCTCTTACTGTACCTAATTTATAAATTAAACTTGATCATAGGTGTGTGTATATATAGGGGAAAACACTGTATAGATAGGGTTCCCTGCTATCCTTGGTTTCCGGCTTCCACTGGGGGTCTTGGAAAGTATCCCTCTCTGGTGAGGAGGGAGTACTGTATTGGAACACAAAGGTATGAAAAACAGTGGTGATTTTAACTAATCAGAGGTTCGATTTTTAGTGCTGTTAAAGTTGCTTTTTGCATGACAGCCATTCATTTTGCCATTTTTTAAGCCTTCCATCACTTAAGTTTTCATTACTGAATAGTGCCAAGTCAAATGTTGTCAATTTCGAGTTAGTAGGTTGGCCTAAGCATAAATTAGATCTTTTGCATAATCACAGTATAATACTCAAAATAGTATTTAAATTGTTTAAACAAATCTTCGGTCTAATAAAGCAGAGCAAGTCTTGTCATTAATCAAATGCATATACCTCCAGGTTGGCCACATTCGTGCGGAACGTGACATTCTAGTGGAGGCAGACAGTTTGTGGGTTGTGAAAATGTTCTATAGTTTTCAGGATAAGCTAAACCTCTACCTAATCATGGAGTTCCTGCCTGGAGGTAATTACTTGACGATGAAAGGTCATTTTTCCTTTTTGTTCTGTGGCTTCTTTCTCACCTCAATTAACTCTCCTTTCTAATTCGTGCTCACAAAGTTACTTTCTGTGTCTTTTTTAGGTCTGTAAGGAAGTCAGTAACCTGTCTGGTGCTGGGTGCCTTTCTACAATTCTTAGTGCCATAAAAATAACCTTCTCATTTGTTCTCATGATTTCAGATGGACATTTCTTTCTTTTTTTCTTTCTAAATGTATAAGATTAAACTAGGGACTCTGCCTGCTCTCCTGTCAGTGGGTATCATGGATAATCAGTTTCCCAAGTGACAAAATGGAAACTAACATTCTTTGCTTCAACTCTTTTGTTTCTTTTTCTATAACTTAAATTAACGAGAAGGGAATTTCTCATTACCTATACTAGTAGCCAGAATCAGTTCCTCATTTCTGAGATTTTTATGATTCATGTAACTTAGCCTGTACATCTCCTAAGACAGCTCCAGACAAACCCAGAACAGTGCCTACCATCTCTTCTGGGAAACACAGCCTGTTTCCCAGTGAGCAGGTGAGCTGTGAGCAAACTCTGGTGGGAAAAAAAGAAAACTTTTTCTTTTTTGGTTCTATAGCAAAGCAAATATAATTGTGGCACAATATTTTGATTTTGTGACAACCTTTAGTTTAGATCTAGGGTCATCAATAATTTTTTATTAACAATTGATGAAGGTTAAAAAGAGATATAGAATGAGGGCAAACTTTTTACCATTTAGATGCCGATTCTTAAACAGGAATAAGAACCAGCTCCGTCACCAGCCCCTTGGCTTGTGTCTCTTCAGCCTTACCTGCACCAACTTCCATAGCTGCTCATGTCTCCCGGACCCCGCCCTGTGCACCTGGTGGAGCTGGCCTGTGGAGCCTTAGACCACCTGGCCTGAGCTCTCTGATCATCTGGGCAGGCAGGGAGGCCATCAACTGCCACGTGGCCACCTTAGAGCTGGCCTGGGCATGCTGTCCCTGCGTCACTAGTGTGCCTCCACATTGCATGTGTGACTGCCAGGAGTGAGTAGGGATTCATATTTTTCATGTTTTGGGTCAAAAAAGAGAGCATTTTAATAAAAGGCTTGAATGTTTTGTTTTTTTTTGCATAGGGGTAAAATATCCACTTTTCTCTAAGAATGTAAAAATTCCCAAGTTATAAATGAAATGAAAAATGCAGCATGATGCTTTGTTAAAATCAGTTTTCTTTCTCTTTTCCCTATTTTCTAACATAAATGGCTTTCCTGTTTTTCTTAGCTTTAAACTACATACTAGACATAATTCGCTTTTGTCTTAATTGTGGCGTTAGGATCAGAATCTTTGTTTTGCCATTTTATGTTGCTCGTATAATTAAAATTTGACTTTGCAGAAAACAAGGAAGTTACCTTTTAATTATTAAACTATTGATAATGTGTTGTAAAACTTACATAAAGCATATCAGTGTATATTTAAATACCTGTAATAAAACACTGAAGGAAAAAGCCCCACTGATCTGGGGAGGTGTTCAGTACGTGTGCACTTCGGGGAAGCCGCTGTTGCACTTTCAGTTTAGTTTTTCAGTTTAGCTTTAGTTTTTGCTGACTAGCACTTTGCTTCCTAAATCCCACTTTTTTGTTTATGTTCTAGTGCTTTGTGAATAGAAATTGGAGAGTTTGTTTTCAGCCTCCCCAAATGCTTACTATTGTTTGGCATTTCAGTCTCTTTCTATAACAATGGCGATACAACTTATGTGAAAATGCCATTTGGTTCTAGGAAGTTTGCAGACATTTGTGCAAAGTTAAAAGGGAAAGTAGCTTTTATCCCTAGGTCAAAAATTTATTATAAGCAAGCTTTTTTTTTAAGTGTGAGAGAAATTTTCTTTTTCTGTCAAAGTAAAATGGAAATCATAGCTCAGTGGTAAGCGTCAGCTAGGCTAGGCCAAAGTGCTTTGCTCTCCATGGTTATGAATTTTACCTTTTAAGTGTTGCAAAGTACTTGGCATTTCTGCCCATAGTGGCATTGTGGGTCAGTCTCTGGAACACAGCAGAGGCCTTATGTTGGCAGATGGGGAAGACATATCTGAAAATTGGCACTTACTCATGTGTTTTGTGTGTGTGGTGCTTTTTATCTTCTTGTTTCCAGGGGACATGATGACTCTACTGATGAAAAAAGACACCTTGACAGAGGAGGAGACTCAGTTTTATATAGCAGAAACAGTATTAGCCATAGACTCCATTCACCAACTTGGATTCATCCACAGAGACATCAAACCAGACAACCTTCTCCTGGACAGCAAGGTACCGTGGGGTGCTGGGGTAGCAGCGTGACAGTGTGTGTTTCCCTGGAGAGCAGCCTCCCTGTGCTGCCTGTGGCAGTCGCAGTAGGGAAGCTGTGGAGCTCTAAACTACCTTGTGTGTCTGTCTGTCTGTCTGTCTGTCTCTCTCTCCCCAGGTAAGTTTGCTGCTACTTCCTTTCTTTGAAAGGCTTATGGTTCTCTAATTTGATTGCATGTTCCTCTTAGATATAATGGACATTTTAAAAAATGATTAAGAGTAAAATTTATTTAGAAGGTTATTTTGTAATAAAGGCAAAGATAGTCATCTTCTCTTAGCATGCAGTTCTACTGAGGCGTCACTTTTGCTGGGCAGGCTTGTCAGGTGAGGAGTCCAGCCAGGAACCAGGAAGCAAGGCACAACACCAGCAAACACAGTGCTCTTGTGTAGGTCCCAGATCTTATGCCATGTGTTTGAAGAAGAGGCCTACTCAGCCTCTGTAATGGCCTTTTTGTATTTACCAGTAGATGTGCTAATGAGTTTAGTTGCTTGGTTCTTAAGCTCACAGCAAATTTGAAGAGAATCCTCTGTGCTGCTGGATAGTTTTTGGAAGTCTTTAACTTCTGGACCTCACTTATCTATAAAGTGAATATATTGATTCAGAGAAGTTCCAAAGTTACTTCCAGCTCTAAAATTGTAGAGTGTTATGTTCTGTTACACAGAATTGTTGTCTAGACTGACATTTTCTTTTAAGTAGAAAAGTATTGTGTTGGCCAAAAAGTTTGTTTCTTTTCTGTAAGATAGCTATAGTGGCACTTAGCTGTCTTTAACTTCATTTGAAACAATTTTGTTAGATTGTACTGTGACAGCTGTCATATCAGCGTGCATTAAAAAAACTTATCCACCCCGGCTAGTATGGTTCAGTGGATTGAGTGCTGGCCTGTGAACCAAAAGGTTGCTGGCTTGATTCCCAGTTGAGGCACATGCCTGGGATGTGGGCCAGGTCCTGGGCAGGGGTTGTGCAAGAGGCAACCACAAATTGACGTTTCTCACCCTCTTTTTTCCCCTAAAAAATACATAAATAAATCTAAAAACAAAACATCCAAATTGGTGAATTTGTGTAGTTGTTTTAATATTGAAGATGGGAAAAAAAAGTGACCTTTAGCATATTATGCTTTATTATTTTAAAAAAGGTAAAAATGCAACTAAAATGTAAAAAAAAGATTTGTCTAGTGTTTGCAGAAGGTGCTGTGACTGATCAAATGTGTCAAAAGTGGTTTGTGGGGGAGTCCTGGGGGGAAAGGCAGAAAACTGTACTTGAACAACAATAAAAAAAATTAAGAAAAAATAAAATCTTTTAAAAAATTAAATAAAAAAATTAACCCTTATCTAATTAAAAAAAATGGTCTGTGAAGTTTTATGCTGGAGATTTCTCAGGTAGACCAGATAGTGATCAAGTCAAGACATTGAGAACAAACAGTGTTATACGATGCAGGTGATAGCCAACATACTCAAAATATCCAAATCAGTAAAGTTATTGGTGAAAATGAAAACTGTGTCTTTTATTTTGTGGATAAAAACATACAAACTTTTTGGCCAACTCAATAAATGTAATTCTAGAATATTTTTCTTTCTTACTGTCTTTTGACAATTATCTTGCTACTGTTGAGAAACCTGAATTTTTTTCTCTAAAAACCTTTATCTTTTGGTGTTAGGAGGGCAGGAGAATTGTCAGATGATGTCTTCTGGTTAATAGTTTTGTCTTTATTATAAGAATAATGCATGTGCATAGTAGAGCATTTGAACAATACAGAGAGTTACAAAGAAGAAATGTACCAATAATCTGATCGTTCAAAGATAAGCACTATTTTGGTATAATAGCTTCAGTACTTTTTCTATTTCTGTCAATAATTTATATATAGTTAGCATCCTTAAAATAAATAGCTTGGTATTTAAAATGTTAATGTATATGAAAGTATTTTTCTGTGTCACTAAGTTCAGATATATTTGTAATGAGGCACTGGCTGTCCTTTGTTGGTCTTGGGTTTGTGTGCCCTGGCGCCTCAGTACTGGCTTAGTTGTCCCCTGTAGTCAGTGACCAGGTTCAGCAAACATTGAAGGCTAAGAACTTGGGAGTCAGTCTCGCTGAGGAGGAATGGGGACCCTGCTAGGTGAATATTTACTTTCTATAATATGCTAGCCCAGACTTGTAGAATAAGTGTTCTCACAGGCGAGCTCAGTTGTGTATTCAGCCATATATATTGTAGAAGTGAAAATACAGAATTTTCAAGTGACTGCTATATATTCAGAATAGCTGCAGAATTCCTTGAAAATCTAGGTTTGAATAGCATTTGCTCCAGGCACTGCTTTTTAAGACACACTCCTTTCTTAGAGGTGTCCAGGTAGAACATGTAATTATGAGAACTACAAATTAACCTCTGTTCCTCGACTTGTAGAACAAGTTATTTGCAAACCTGAAAAAAAGACAGGTTAACAGGCTCAAAGCTGTCTTTGTTTGGCAGTTTACCTTGTTGCATGCATGCAGGTGCGCACGCACACACACACACACACACACACACACACACACACACACAGAGTTGAACTTAATGGGATTTCTTGAAAAACAAAATAAAGCCTGACTCCTCCGAGCAGGGTTTCTGTAGCCTTGTACGCTGGGAAGTTTGTATGTTAGGGCCTGAAGGAACGTGGTGTCATGGAATGACCATGTGTGTTGAAGTCTTCAGGGCTCAGACATAGGCCACGACACTTCTGTTGAATAACTCTGTGCCCTGGAGCAGTGTAGATCCCTGAGCATCAGGATTCCCTCCCCTGTTTTTGGTATTACCTCGTTTACTTAAAATTTAACCACCCTAAGAACACCTACCTCTTTCTTAAGGCTAGTTAGGAGCCTTGTCTGCCTTAATTCTCATCATTCCTACCAGGAAGATGTCATTATCCCCATTTTCCAGGTGAGATCAGAAGGTTTCAGAGGTTAGCTAATCCTGTCCTGGGGAGAAAGAGCATGTTGATTTCTGGTTTGGCCTTGCCATTTCACTAGCCAGCTTTGTCTTGACTCTCAGTCTGTGAATGTGGCTTAAGAGATACAAATGAGACAACACATTTAAGGTGTGGTGTGAGTTTTCCTTGAAGGGAGGGATAGAATTAGAGACGTAAGATTGAAATGCATTCTGGCCACATTTATTAAGAACTGTGTAGTAAAATTTATTCCTTTTGTCTTTGGAATAGTTTACTCCTTGGAATTTATCCTAATGAAAGAATTCAAGAGAAAGAGAAGCTATATGAACAAAGATTTGTTATTTAACAACCATGTATTAAGACCACCTTCTGGACCAGGTGTGGTTGGGGTGGGGCACAGAGGCCCTCTGGGTCACGGTGCGTGTGGTCCGCGGCACAGTGAGAGTGAAGGGATGGGGACGAATGAGCGTGCAGTATGAGGGAGTGTGAGCTAAGCAGTGATGCACTAAGTCACTTGGATATTATCTATAAACATTAAAAATTGTTATTTAAAAAACTATATAAACAGAAGAATATTTGAGCTAGTTTAAGAAGTAAAATTATCTTTAGATGCTGTGGAGGATCTCAACTATGTTTAAAAGTTTATGTTTGGACAAAAAGGTAATATGCACAAATGAAAATACTTTATTAGTATAATAGAATTTGGGGTAATCTTTTAAAAATTTATTTGCTATTATGTATATTTTCCCTGTAATAAGAGAAAAAAAGGCAGTGTACTTTGGCTGTGGAGCTGTAATGGATGCTGCAAGGAGCTGGAGAAGGTGACTGTGTTCCACACCCAGGAGCGTTTTACATTACCTTGTTTCTTCTTCCCGTAGGGCCATGTGAAACTTTCTGACTTTGGCCTTTGCACAGGCCTGAAAAAAGCACATAGGACAGAATTTTACAGGAATTTGAACCACAGCCTTCCCAGTGATTTCAGTAAGTGTTAACAGTGATGTTATAGCCTTTTTGTTCCTTAACTGGGCCTAATAAAGCTGTTCCCCTGGTAACTAAATGTGCAGGACACATTAATAGAGTCTTCCTTTGAGGCTTTAGAGCATTAACTGAGTTGTAGTTGTGTACTGCGGCAAGGTACGTGCTGCAAATGTGTCACTCGAGATGTCGGAAAGAGCTAGCTTTGGAGCTCTGCTGAGAGGTTGGGTCCTCTCACGTGAGAGAGGACCTCTTCACCCACGTGGGAGGCACGTGGGGCGGTAGAGGAAAAGCTCTGGGCACGGTTCCAGATTAGCGTTATCCTGCGCGCTGCTTTCTGTTGAGGCAGGAAGAAATTTATCTTCATGAGTGCCGCTTTTCACTTGAGCACCATCAAAGCATTGAAATTATGTGGTGAAATTACAGTTCATCTTAGAGGAGTTTATGTCAAATAATGTATTATAAATTCAGGAGTCTGTGATTGACAGTTACTACTCTTGGAAATATGATGGTAATTTTGAGAAGTTGGAAATGTTTTAGGTCCACTTTGGGACCTTTGCCTCTGATGAGACTGATTCCCTATAATTCTGATCAAGCCCTGCCTGTGTCCCCTGTGGCCACAGGATCCACGTGGAAGTGCTGCTTAACCTCCTTGTGTGATTCTCTGAACAAATGCTTTAGAGCCTCCAACTGGGGCTTATGGACGTGCTGGGAAATGTGTCATCCAGGGTTCCTGATGTGTTGGCAGACTTTAGGGTCTCATGTGGTTTGAACCAGAGCCTAAAAAAGTAGTAAACACTGTCTGAACCTTGATTAGAACTTGTTTTCTCTGCTTTTAGCTTTCCAGAACATGAATTCCAAAAGGAAAGCAGAAACCTGGAAAAGAAATAGACGTCAGCTAGTAAGTAATAGCTGTAGCTTCTTAAATGCTACAAACCAAGTATGAAACGTTAAAAAAATATGCTCATGAATTTACATTTTAATAAATGTTTGCAGCATATCTATCCCTTGCTTTTAAGATTATCTTAATAGAGCACTGTTATGTAGCACCAAAGTAATCATTTGAAGGCAGGTAATATTAGGTTGTTTTGGTTGTGACATTTTCAGTAGATGACCTCACTCTGACCTTTTACACTGGTGATGACCCCTTTTCTTCCTGTTCCCCCTTTTCCCTATTTTTATGATGGTAAAGGGTTTATATTAAAGCTGCAGGGCTTTCAAAATAAAACTAAGTACCAATACCTACCCAGAGCTTTAAGGCAGTGGTTCTCAAACTTTTAAAATTTTGATTCACTTCAGCAATTCAAAACTCCTCAATTTCCTCAATTTCCCTGCTCCATCCTCTTCTACTTTGTGATGGAAAAAGAACCAGGTGTTAAAATTGGAGAGAAATTTCAGGGAAATGCTCATTATTTACTTTATAAATATGTAAGTGAATACACATAAAATTATGTCCCACAAGCTTAAAAAATAACATTGTTGGACCTACCTTGATAGTATGTTGGAAGTTAATTTAAATAATACAAATTCACAGTGAGATGTTGCTGTCTAGCAAACTTTTATTCTGATTCATTGGTTCATATTTGAAGTGCAGTGCACGTGTATGATGTCTAGTTATTGGAAAATTCATAGAAACGTGTATCACTGCATACTTAGGTATTGCTAGAAACCTGTGGCAAATGAAATTGGTGACAGTAAAGCTAAACTAAAAGCTGGTCATTAGAAAGCAAGAATAGCAGCAGCAGTGGAAAACCACCACTAACTGGGAATGATGGTTGTGCACGTCTCTTATCTAGATGTGGCGGTACTTCTGCTTGTCAGTGCACACAAATGCGATAGTAACTTGGCAGGTCTGCCAAATGTTGTTTCTCAGACAATCTTCTTAGTAAAAGACTGAGTTAGAGTTCTCTATAGTATCTTTAATAACTTATTGGGTTGGCCAAAAAGTTTTTTTTTTCCTATAAGATGGCTCTAATAGCAGTTAGTTGTCTTTAACTTCATTCTAGACAGTGACGTTAGATTGTGTTTTGACGGCTGTCATATCAGTGTGCATTTAAAAAAACTTATCAAAATTGGAATTTTTGTGTAGCTGTTTTAATATTGAAGATGGAAAAAATAGCAACTTTTTGGCATATTATGCTTTATTATTTTAAGAAAGGTAAAAGTGCAACTGAAATGCAAAGAAAGATTTGTGCAGTGTATGGAAAAGGTGCTGTGCCTGATCAAATGAATCAAAAGTGGTTTGGGAAGTTTTGTGCTGGAGATTTCTCTCTGGACGATGCTCCATGGTCAGGCAGACTAGTTGAAGTTGATAGCAATCAAGTTGAGACATTGATTGATAACAGTCAATGATATACCATGCAGGAGATAACCGACATACTCAAAATATCCAAGTCAATAAACTTATTGGTGAAAATGAAGAATATGCGTTTTATTTTATGGAAGGACCATACGGACTTTTTGGCCAGCCCAATACTTGGTAGGTTCACTAGTAAGTAGCTGTCAGTCATGTGAAAATGGAAGCCTGTAGAATTGTTTAAGAAAGACTCAAAGGAAAGACTTGTTTGATTTTTAAGTTTATTTGAGGCTACGTTCCCAGACTATGCTTTGAATATTATGATTTTTATGTTAAACCTGGGCCCTGGGAGAGGCATTAACTTAAACCAAACACTCCTGGAGATGCAGTAACTGAAATTAATCTTTGGTAATCTTTCTATAACATTAACTTGGGGATACTTAAGTTTGGTGTAGTTAGTCACATCGTAGTGTCCTTCCCTAGGAACTGTGATACTCTTTAAAGGTCTAAATTCTGTGTGTGCTTGAAAACCTGTTTACGTAGCTTGTTGAGGGTGAGGGAGTATCAGGAACGAAGTTGGTCAGGTGCTTCTGTTATGTCTCTCCCTAGAGCAGATTTTAACCTTAGCTGCACATTGGGATCACCTGGGAACTTCAGAACATCCTGATTGTTGGGTCCCATCCCCAGAGATTCTGATTCAGTTGGTTTGGGGTATATAGTCTGGGTATTTGATTTTTAAAAGGACTGTGGGTGATTTTACTGTGTATTGAAAGTTGAGACCCCCTAAGGAAGAGACGATTGCACAACAATAGCTTCTGCATTGTTGGGAAATTGGTATTTACCTATGTTTTGGAAGCTAACAAAAGGTTAGGAATCTTCTTTGATTTTTTTTTAACAAGATTTAACTTTTGGCTACTGTACACATATTTATTTGGGGGGTAGTTAAGCTTAAATACCTTAAATTATCCTTCTCCTTTGAGACAGCCTTCATGCTCTTTGACACGTACCAAGAGTCATGTCAGACTTACTAGGAAGCATTTATAGGTCTGAAGGAAGGAGATATCAGTTTCTGTATTTGAAGTTCAATATCTTTTAGTAGTTTAAAATCTGAGTAAACCAAAGTTCTTACGCTGTGATTAACAAACATTCTTGCCTTTTTATTTTATCTATGGTAGAAATGTAAAAAAAAATTTAGGTCATCCTCATACTACTTATTTTGATAACTTGAGGAAAAGTAAAAAGCACCTCTCAGTCTTCAAAAGGTCAATGAATCATGTGCTCTCATCTTTCATAAGTGATCCCATTCAGCTAGTACCAAGCAGAAAGTTCATGTTAATGCTTAATGTAAACTTATTCCTCTAGGTTAATAAGTCTATCATATTGCTCACCCACTCTGTTACTTCTCAGTCCTTGAGAATCACTGAATAGAGGTTTAAGGTTTACTCCTTGGCTGCTTAAATCATATCTTAATGTTTTAAATTGCTTTGTGATGTTGGGTAACCTTAGGCCTCAGTAACTGGTTAGGAAATAGGTATGTGTCAGCTTTAAGTTACTAAACCACAGAGGTAAAAGATGAAGTACAATCTAGGCATCCAGTCTTTGTCAATTTATTTATTTTTTTAGTGTAGAATTTACAGAAGTGATTGAGTAGGAAATGAAATTGCTTTCTTTCCCCTGAAATCCTAAATTGCAACATGTCATGAGTTTGAAATGACTGTTAACAACCAACACAGCTCTCTTACAGTGCAGCATTAACTGGCACTCTAAATATCTGGACACCAAAAGGAAAAAGATTTGAGGTATTCAGAGCTTAGAGATGGAGGACACCTTGGTAAGGAAAACAGATAAAAGCTTGGGAAGGGGACAGTCCCTAGACTGGAAAAACTTACCACCGGGTTGTTGAAAGGAGAGCGACCGCATTGCCTCACATCACGGTGGGGCCTGCTGTTGGCCGTGTTCCATAGCTCCAGGGTTTTGGTTTTTTTAACACATTAGTGTCTTGACGTAATTCTTTTCCTGTAGCAATGTGTCTCTGATTTCTTAATAGAAATCTTTGAACAAATAAGATTTACTTAATATTCTGCTTTGCTGGGATAAATCCAGTCTCTATAGGAAGGGTTTCTGTAGTTTCTGAACCTTTAATTAGAAGGAAAGTATTTCTGCTTCTTGGGGTGGGCCCGATCCCTGTTTCAGGTTCAAAGCTTTGTAGAACCCCCACCCTGGCATTTGTTATTTAACGTGCATTTAAAAGAAAATGATGTACAACTAAGTATGTGGAAAAATGGGTTTCTATCTTACGGTATACACAAAATAAATTGTAGATGGAAAGTGAAACTTTGAAAATTTTAGAAGCAAATACCTGTAATATCTTTATGACTTCATAGTAAAGCAGCATTTTTCAAATGGGATACAAGAAGTATGAGTCATAAAGAAAAACGTATTTTACCACTTTAAAGAAAAAAACTTTCGTATGTTGAAAGATGTAAATGAGAAGATAAATCACGAGATTCTGCTACTTTTGAATTACTTTATAGTTCACTGGCAGACCCTGCACCCCAGCAGTTCTGTCCCAGTCATGTGCCTGGGAGAAGCTCTTGCACCCATGAACCAGAAGCCACCTCAAAGAGTGTTTATTGCATTTTTGTAATAGCAAAAGCTGGAAATTATTTAGTGGTTCTTGTCTGTCAACAGGAAAAGGGTTACATTCTGGAATAAAATATTTTACAGTAGTGAAAATAATTGCACTGAAGCTACATGTGTGACATCGTGGATTGATTTAGAAAAAAATGTGAGGAGAAATCAAATAGCAGAAGGCTGCATGTAAATGGTGCTATTTTTACAAATCGAAAACAAAACTAAAAGGGATTACATCTAAAGACACACGTGGCAAAATTAAATTTCTTTTTTAAAAGCTGAGGAATGATAAACATAAAATTGAGCTTACAGGGGTTAGAGGCACTAGGGTGGGGTGGAATGGGGAGGAGTACATATTTAGTTTCAATGATACTGGTAATATTTTGGTTCTGCAGTTGAATCATGGGTATTCATTTTCATTATGCTTTATAATGTAATAATTACAAATTTTTGGTATGTGACAAATTTACATCATTTAAAAAGTCATAATAAAATGATAAGCCTCAGATTGGGAGAAGGTATTTGCCATATGTAAAACTATAAAGGATTAATGTCCTAAATCAGGATTAATACCCTGGATCTATAAAAAATTTTCTATGAATCAATAAGAAAAAGGTTAATGCAACTAAAAAGAAAAAACAAAAACAACTAATGAGCAAAGAATCTGAACAGGAATTCACAGAAAAAAGACCTGAATGGTTAATTAATACATGACTATGCACTCAGCCTTACTGCAAATAAGGGAAATGCAAATTAAAACAGTGAGATCTCATTTCATATTCAACTGATTGGTGAAAATTAAAAAGTGCGAGAAAGCCAAGTGTTGGTGAGACACGGAATATTCATCCCCACTGGGGGTGTTCAAACAGGCATAACCACTTTCAAGGACAATTGGAAGATGTCTAAGTAGAAGACCCAGTGATACTGTTTCTCTTACATCTAGTGAAATTTTTGCATAATTGCCCAGGAGGTGTTAAAAGAATGTTTATTCGGGTGTTTTTGTTATAGCGAAACATTGGAAGCAATATGAGAGTCCATTTACAGGAGAATGGATTAAGAAAACACTGACATTTGTGTAATGCAATAGTGTACACAGGAGTAAAATGGGCGTGCTGGAGCTATATGAATTACTCTCATTTATAATCGGAGTAAAAAAAGCAAGTTGTAGCCTTGTAGCTGTAGTCGAACAATACAGTACAGTATGAAACCCAAGTTGAAATATATGAGGAGTTAGTGTTATGTCACTATGTCTGTATTCATACAAGCATAGCATAGCAACTTCAGGGAGGTTCTAACCTCAGTGGGGAGGGAGGGAGGGAGACTATCAGGCTTTAATCATTTTAGTTTTACTTCTTTTAAAAGACATAATCTGAGACAAATATGGCACATTATTTAACTTCTTTTTAATATGGGTAATGGTTACCTGTGTATTATCTTGTCTGTGCTTTGTTTCTGTATGTTTGCAGTATTTCATAATAGCTTAAAAAGAGAACACAGCTGTAATTTTTAAGTCTAGAAGTTGTACAATATTGAAAGCCCCTAGATTAGAGCCTTCCGTACTGAGCACACTGGGAGGCTTGGACTGTACCTCCCCAGCATTACCGTCTTGGTGTATGAGAAGAGATTATTTTAATTTAGAAAACATTCCTCTAAGAACTGTTTATATAAAGAGCTAAGTTTGGTAAATAGACACTGATAAACCTTTGACATATAGGATATAACTTTAGCTTTTGACAATAAAACTTCCCTTAATAATTCTCTCAAATCAAAGAATGTGTGTGGTGGAAAGGGATGATGTGGAGCAAGGTGATTTCCAAACTACACTCTGCCACCTAATTAGTTCTGAGGCCTTAGGCAAAGCAATTTTGGGCACCAGATCTGCAAAGTTGGGTTAATAAGGCCCTCTTTGCCAGGTTTTGGCAGGACTAACTAGTCTCATAATCATATAAGAAGAACAGAGCCTGGCACTCACTGGATGCTCAGTAAGTCATGGTAGTAGTAATCATGACAGGTACCTGTGGGTCTCTTGCCTCACTGACAGAGCTTTATTTTTCATTTTGGAAGTGCTCTGGCAAATCAGGTTTGCCATTAAGCAGCTAGGCCTTTCTGTATGTTTAGTTCGTGGGTAGCTGGTGGCCTTTGGTCTGTAGAACAGAACTCTGGGCACCCTCCTACCTGCTGCACCTCCCTGATGTGTGGCACATGTTTCAGGCCTTCTCCACAGTAGGTACTCCTGACTACATTGCTCCAGAGGTGTTCATGCAGACCGGGTACAACAAGCTCTGTGATTGGTGGTCGCTTGGAGTGATCATGTATGAGATGCTCATTGGTAAGTATCGTGCTTTCACATGGCTTTTTCTGTGTAGCCAGGAAAGACTCCTACATTGATAAATAATAAACTCTCTTTCAATTTGGGATTGATATATGTTCCCTCCCCTCCCCCATCTTTCTTGTTTTTAATTTTTAAAAAATTACTGATTTTAGAGAGGAAGGGAGAAAGAGAGAGAATTATTGATTTGTTGTTCCACCCATTTATGCATTCTTGAGTGTGCTGCGACCAGACATCGAACTTGCAGCCCTAGTGCATTGGGACAGTGCGATAACCAACTGAGCTACCTGGTCAGGCTCCTCCTCCCCCACCTTTCAAAGTTAAGCTTCCCAGGTAGAAAACTTTTGGCCAAAAAATGTATCCTGTGTTCTGTGGCACACTGATGTCCTGTGGTTGCTTTGCTGATCATTTGTCATGGTTTTTCCTGTGATTTCATCCTCTCCATGTAGCTGCTCTTTCAGTCACTGACATTTATTAAACATCCATTGTATGCAGAGAGCTTTACCTGGGCATTGCCCCATCCACTCTTTTTATTTGCTGTCCCCTTCCTCTCTCAAGGCCTTCAAAGTATGGAACTCTGACCTCTCTCCCTCTTACTCAGATTGGTAATGTTTCATTTAGGGGACACATCAGTGGGGTAGCCCTGAGCCTGAGAGCACTAGGAGAGTCGGTGTATTTGGGGTGATGACGATTGCATCTGTGCATATGACAGCGTGGCGTCTGTCTGGCTGTGCGGTCTTTGGGAGCACTGCATGGATGCCTATGGGGTGGCTGTAATCTGTGTGGAGGGCAGGTGGAATAATATAGTATGTGAGTATTTATCCTCTTGCCTGTCATTCTCAGAAGAGGGGTGGTGGTCACTTTTAAAACCCACGCTTTTTTCTTTTTTAGAAAGAGTTTAGCCCTGGCTGGTGTGGCTCAGTACATTGAGACCAAAGGGTCACTGGTTTGATTCTCAGTCAGGGCACTTGCCTGGGTTATGAGCCAGGTCCCCAGTAGGGGGCACACGAGAGGCAACCGCACATTGATGTTTCTCCCCCTTTCTCCTTCCCTTCACCTCTCTAAAAAAATATAAATAAATAAAGTCTTTTAAAAAAAGGAAAGAAAAGAATCGCTTTCCTTTTAAAGGTTTTATTTATTTACTTTTAGAGAGACCTAAAGAGAGAGACGGGAAGGGAGGGAGAGAAACATCAGTGTGTGAGAGATACATGGATCTGTTATCTCTTGCTTGCCCCCATCTGGGGACCTGGCCTGTAACCCAGGCATGTGCCCTGACTGGGATTGAACTGGCGACCTTTTGGTTCATAGGCCAGCACTCAATCCACTGAGCCACAGAGCCAGGGCTAAAATCCCTGCTTAATCAACTCATTTGGGTCTTTACCCACATAAAGATGTTCTTAAAATGGAGTCGTTTCTTACTGATGTTGTTTCATCCTTTCCTTTCTTCTTTGGTCACAGTGGTTCCCACATCTGCAACTCTTGCTTATGTCCTCCTCCCTTTTCCCAGCTCCTGTGATTGGGTGATTCCCTCATGGTTCCAGAAACACAACCTCACTTTGGGTTTAGAAGTTTGGGGGAAGATGAAAATTTGTTTAGGTGCATTTTGGGATGAGTGGAAATCCTGTCTATGTCATGGAGGGAAGGACATACGAGGTCATTAAAGATATATAGAATCATATTAAGGAGAATCATCTCAGATTCAAAGTTCTGCATTGTTAAAGTTCCAAGTTCCTCTTTTACTGCAGGCTACCCACCTTTCTGTTCTGAGACCCCTCAAGAGACATATAAGAAGGTGATGAACTGGAAAGAAACTTTGACTTTTCCTCCAGAAGTTCCTATCTCTGAGAAGGCCAAGGACCTAATTTTGAGGTATCAGTCAGAGAACATTCCCCCGCCCTAGGCTTTCTGACATGAGAGAATCCATTTTTTTAGGCTTTCAGTATTTCCTGGATTTGTCATCCCCTGCTTCTTTCCATTTCTTTTAAAAAAGGGGAGGTTATTCCTTTTCTTTCTCTGAGGAGACTGCTTGAGATATGCTGAAAAGGCCTCTGTCTTTTCCAGATTCTGCTGTGAATGGGAACATAGGATTGGAGCCTCTGGAGTTGAGGAAATCAAATGTAATTCTTTTTTTGAAGGCGTTGACTGGGAACATATCAGGTATATCCATATAAAAGCTTTCAGGGTGATTTCAGAAAGTCTAGATTGTTTAATACTCATTTGGAAGAATCATTATTGGCAAACCATGTCATTAATTTCTTCTTAGAAATTCAGGGTATTTTCCTGATTTTGTTTCATGGTAAGGACCGGAAGTTGGAGGTTTGGGTTGGCCCTGAACCGTGGGATATGTTGAACCTAGCAGCTGTTTCCACGGTGAAGTGAACTTTGGCTTTCATGGTGAAGGGAACATCTAAGAAGCCTGTTCTTTTACCTGGAACACACCAACCTCTCTGGTGTTGGGGACCACCTGCAGGACAGTCCCTGCCCAGAGATTAGGCACTGTCGCTGGGAGGTGAAGAAGGAGAAGGGGTGGAAGGACTGGGGCAGGCAGTGGTGCGGGGGGTGGAGGGGAGGTTGTTCCAGTCTGTGGAGGGCGGCCAGCCCAGCGAGAGCCTCTGGCCGCTTACTCAGCGCTTGCTGGTTGCTAAACAGAAGGTGAAGTTGTCATCCGTTTCACAGCTGTGTTCTGACTTGCATCCTTGTGATTTTTACCTCTGCCTCCTGTGTGCTGCATTTTTAGCCCCCTGCTCATGTGCACCTCTGATACAAGGTCCAGGTTCCCTTGTAGCAGACAGGGCAGGCCGTCGGGGAGTGCCTAACTGTGGACTTTAATTTTGTTCCTTATATTTTTGTCATTGTAATTTATTTTTTTTGGCTGTAGTCAGTTGCCGTAGTTGGTCTGTGATCAGAAGCTCTTCAGAGAAAGTAAATGCTGCCTGTCTGGCTCGTCTGCCCATGCCGGACCAGGGGTCTTCTTTGGAGAAGACTCAATTAGTTATGACCCACATGAGTACTAATCATAGTAATTTTTGGCATGTCTGTTCTTGGCAGAGAGAGACCTGCTGCAATCTCTATTGAAATCAAAAGCATTGATGATACCTCAAACTTCGATGAGTTTCCAGAATCTGATATTCTTAAGCCAACAGGTAATACCACCAACACTGCCTCCTACTGCCTTACAAATGCATTGTTTACCCCCCAGTTTTGGGGTGATGTTTACAAATCAGGGTGGAGAACATGGAGAGGGACTTCAGTTCTTCGGGTTCTTTGTAAGTATCTTCCAGTGCTGACGCTGGGCACTAGCGAGGCCTTGTCGGATGAAAGATGAATACAAACTCCCATGTTTAACCTGCTCAGCTGGCTGGGTAAATCACAAAGATCTCTTTTCTTATTTATTAAATTAAAGGTTAGGTAACCTGAAATGACAGAAGTGGGAAAATAAAACTTTTAAAGTACGTGTGAAACAAATGAGGTTCAAGGAACATATAGGCAAGCAAATGTACAAAATTCGCACAGAGTGAAAACTCTTCCCAAATAGAAACTGGTATTTTCTTCAGAACGTCATGTCCTCAGTACCCAGTGGTCTGTCGGGGTAAGACAGTAAATCAACTCTCACATCTATTTCTTTCCCAGTGGCAACAAGCAATCACCCTGAGATTGACTACAAGAACAAGGACTGGGTCTTCATCAATTACACGTACAAGCGCTTTGAGGGCCTGACTGCACGGGGGGCAATACCTTCCTACATGAAAGCAGCAAAATAGTACTCTCAGAATGGAGCTCTAAATGGAGCAGAGTTCTTTGTGCAGCATCACACTGTTCCTCACACACTCTTTTGAAAGAGCTTCCAAGAAGTTTATGGAACCCACCAGTATGTCCTGGTAAACTTGCCTGAAATGTGGTAGTGAGTAGATCCTCTTCATAGCGCCATCTGAGAAGCTGGAAAACAAAGACAGCCATTTTTACTACATCAGCCATAAGCAGTTTCTGTAGGAGTGTCGTGAGCCAATTTGATAAATGTTTTCCTGAGTTCATCAGAATGAAGGGGAAAAAACAGCCATCATCCCACATTGTTGAAATTGTAATGCATACTTATACTGAGTAACAGCCAATTCCCGTGATTTTGTGATACGCTTTCTGCCAAGCCCACCAAGTATTTCTTTTCCTTTACAGCTGGAAGTTCCATAGTACTAAGGAAATAAAGCAATAATGAAAGCCTCAGCAGCCAGCATTCTGGCTGAAGAAAATGATCCACCTTTCTCTGACGGGGCGGTGATGGTAGTTTCTCCCCATACCCCACCCCAGGCGAGTGGCTTTTTATAGCCTCCATTCATGGTGCACTTTACTTATGGTACTAGGCTAAAGACCCTCAATCCGTTGATTTTTATCTTCCCACCCATCTGAAATACTCGTGCTGTTTTTCTGAGTGTTGATGGGGGAATACCAGCTTGATCCACTGTTGCTCTTAGAAGGCCCCTAAAGCCATTGGGCATTGCCAAGGAGTCCTGGATCATGTGGAAAACCCTCACTTTCTCTTCACGGTTGTATCAGAAAATCCCTTAGTTGGATGTTGCCATGAACCAGCAATGCCTGCAAGTGCTGCCCATGGGCACTTGGTTTATCCTGGGAACATAGTAAGGAGAGCCAGGCAGAGGCAGGAAGCCTGGAATCCTCTTGGCTAAGGTGCTGCTCCTGCTTGGTCTCCAGAACTTCCTTTGAAGTGGGAAAGAACCAGCCCAATAGAAGGTGCACTGCAGAGCCAACCTACAGATCTTTGTCAAGTTCACTGCCCAATCCTCGGTGCAACTGTGTTTGTTTCCTCTTTCTATGTTTGTATTTCTTCTTCTCCAACTTTAAGTACCATTTTGCCTTGGGATCACGATTACAGAGTTTTCCTTTGCAGATGCCTTCCTGGGGGATGTTCCTCTCCACTGGACTGGATGGCCCAGCTGGGGCTGCCTGGGCCCTGCTGAGGCATGCTCTCATGAGACACTCTCTGAATTTCAGCACAAAGTGCCTTCTGTTTTACAGCTGCCACCATCTTTAGAGGAATTTTGCTGTGTCAGATAATTGTGGAGACTCTATATAAATGCATTATTACTTTTTAAAATGTTTATAACTCTGAAAGCATCATTTGCACCTGTGTTGTGGAGCATCATGGCCAAGCTCCAGCGGGGGGACTGCTTCCTGCTAGTCTTGATGTTGTTAAGATCAGCTGGAAAAGTGTGTCCTAGCTGAGCCATTCAGAAAAGAAAAACAGAATTCAAAGTTATAGTAGTAAGTGAAATTTCTTTGGATTTTACTGTCTTAGAGGAAGAAGAAAGAACATTAAGGAAGTATTAACTCTGGATGAAGGTAATGTGTCTGCCCCTTAATCTTTCATTCATGATCTATTAGTGAAAAGGAAGTCAATGATAATCTTTTTTGTAAATTTATAGTTTCTTTGTATTACCAAATAGTTGGGGTGTTGACCCCCACGTGTTTTGCAAGAGTGTGTGGTAAGCATGGGTGAGGAGATGTAACAGGAGTGGTGATAGTCTGTATGTTGGGAGTGGCAGGGGATAATTTGTTAAAAGGGGGGAATGTCCACCTTTTAACTTTTAAACTTTTGAATAAACTGTTTAAAAACTGTGAAAAAGGTCAAATATGGTTTCTCATTCACAGAAGTAGAGAGCTTACACTGCGTCACCATCTGTAGGCAAAGGGCTTTTCTATCCCAGGGAAGCTGGGACTTGAGTCTCCTGAATTGCTCTTCATATCAAGAGACCATCTTCAGTTGACCCCACACATGTTTTTTGCCCACTTCTGTGTTAACAGAGCAGTGAGCTCTCCCCTCGCGGTAAGGCCAAGGGGAGAGCTTCTGACACAGTGCTCTCAACTGGTGGACCCTTCGTACATCTGTTTACAGCCCCCAGCCTGGGGTTGACCAGCAATCTCAAAAGCTCGCAGGATGAGACTTCTCAGCCACCCGTGTCCAGAGCAGGGTTCTGTCTCCAGATCTTGTGTACTTGAGTCCCGTTGGGTCCCACTTCTGACCCCTTCCCTAGGTTAGGGAAAGGAGCCTCAGGAAGGGGCAGGAAAGGGCAAGACTAGGGTGGGATCTGCAGACAGAAGGCAGCTAAATGCAGTCAGGATGTCTACTGTCCTTCTAAGGCTCATTGGAAAAATGCTGGGATTGGCTCACCGTTGGTCCTATTCACAGATAGTCCTGTTTCCCACTCTGTTCATGGGAGTTAGAAAATACAGAACTTGAACTGGAGTGCGTACTGAAATGAACCTCAACTAGGGATGTTTTTCTTCTTGATACAGAGCGCATCAGAATTTTCTTCGGTGCCTGTTTCTTTTTAGAATTATTTTCAAAAGTAACAGATGAATTCCTTTGGGATTGATATTCAAGGTTTGACTAGCAGATTGTAATTTCAAAACTCATCTATATGGCATAATAGGAATCCTCTGCTATTTATTACTAATACTTGTTATCTGGATCATTTCCTTGGAAAGCATGTATCCTGGACCCCGTGTTTGTCTCTTCTGGTCCTTTGTGTGTTATCTGAAGGGGGTTTTTAGGACTCAGAAGGATTCAGTGAATGGTATTTTCCCTTCCTAGGTATTATCCATTGACCTGGAATTATTTATCAAAGCCAACACTGACTTAAAACCAACCACCACGTGCTTTTTCAGGCATATTTTCAGAGAAAAACATCTTACCAAAATAACATTTAAGTACCTGTGATATACAGAGTTCAATACCAGGCACTCAGGGTACACAGGGAGTGCTCTGTGGTTCTGACTGCAAATCAGTTTGAGGGGAGAATTCTTACCCACAAAGCGGCTTAAATGCAGCATCAATTATAAAGTTCATGTTTTAGTGTCAATGTAACAATACTGTTAAGCCAACCCAAAGTTGTTGGGAAGCTTAGGGAAGGTTCCGGGAGATGCTCGTAAACAGCAGTGATTTGGCAGAGGGGAGTGAGCAGTCCAGGATTGTGGAGGTTGGTGCGTACAGCCTCGTGCTGTGACACAGGCACAGAGCTCTGGGTGATTGCTTCATGGGGCGCACTGCAGTCACTTTTGTTACATCATTTCCCTCTCCCACTTGAACCCGCCGAACCCGCTCCAGTCTGGTTCCTGTCCTTTGTGTGAAATGTTGGTGTTAATTATGCCATGTATAAAGCATGCTAGCATTAATTTTTTTTATTATTATTCCTCTGGGCACTGGTGCCCTGCCATTGCTCCTTATCTTACTCGATCAACCTGCTGCTCCTTGGTAATTCCTCTGCCACCCCTTAAATGCTGGTGATGCTCCTCAGAGCAGTGACCTTTGCCGTTTTCCCTCCATTTGCCCCATACTAGGGCTCCAACTGCCATGTTTCTGTGGTGAGGTCTTCGAAGTGACCAATCTACCCAGACTGCTCCCCAGAACCCTATAGATCTCACGTAGCCGACTGCCAACTAGACATTGCCACCGGAGGGCTGTCTTCAGGCTCAGACTAAAGCTGTCTATAGCTCCTCTTGCACCTCCACAGCCTTTTTTCCTAGGTGTCTCCCCAGTGGCCAAGCCAGAAACTTCTTACATGGCTCCTGTCAGTAAGCATGTCCAGGACATGGCCACCCATCCTACCAGTGCCTTCATCATTCCTTACTGAACCCAGTGCAGTGGTCTCTTAAATGACCTTTCCGCCCTTGGTCCTTTTTTCAAGTCTTGCCCCCGCTGCTGCCAAAGAAATTCTTTTAAATTTCAAGTCTGATCATGTCATTCTGCATAAAACCCTTGCGGACTCCCAACACTCCTTTGTCCAAGGTGCATCCTTCCTTTGACCTCTTATCTGCATCACCCCATCCACTTCCCTGATGACAATAAGCAGGTATTGTCACTTTTGCTTACAGTTGAGTTGCCCTGGATACCACCTACCCTTGTACTCATGGATCCAAACCTAGTATTTATCCTTCACAATTCAAGTCATGTGTCACCTCTAGAATTCTCTCGTGAATTCTACCCCTCACAGTAAAAACTGGCTCCTCCACCCTTTTGAGGTTCCTGAATGAGCTGGACTGTTCATAAACATCTTCATGTGATTATAAAAGGCCTTTTGACAGAACTATATGACCTACACAGCTTGGCACAAAATATACTCAACAGGCCGTCTTCAGAACATGTTCTAACCTGTGCTGATACAGGCAGGCCTGCTAGGGAGGCACAGGCTTGCTTTAGCACCCCTTGAAGTTGCATCACCAGTATGCTCCCAGGCTAGGCAAGCCGAGGGGCCTCAGTAGATCCCAGACCCGAGTAGGGCGCAGTCGGATACCAAAGGATGAGAAAGTCTCTACAGCAGTGTCTCCAAGGGACCTGCTTGCATGCCGCTCTACCCTCCCACCTGCTTTTCATTGCTGCCACGCTTCTCACTTGCTATAAACCAAAACTGGGACGTGGAAGTTTGAGTCCTCTTTTAAATTTATATTTCACTTTGCGGGATCCTATTTAATTGAGTTTGAGGGCTCAAGGAGTCTGGAATGCAAGGAACTAGGGAAGGGAGACCACTAGGCTCTGGAAGCTGGAGGTACAAAGAAACAGCAGGGTGGGAAACACACAGGCTTGAGGCGAGACCCACCCACAGCCACTGTAGGAAAGGAGGCTGTTCTGGGCAGGCCAGTGCTGCTCCTTTCAGTCCCTTTTAAACTCTTCTAACTTCATTTTCTTCTAAACACACACACAAACACAAATAATAATACTTTATTATTTAAAAAAGCATCCCAAATATAGGATTTCGTAAACACTGGTAGGTGAACATGTGCAACTTTAAACACAGAGGCAAAACTGAAGGCATTTTGCCTTAAGGAGAAAATGTTCTGCAGAGGTGGTCCCGCCCAGAGCACAAATGTCGCTCCATCTCCCACAAAGGCATCAGGTTTGCTTTCTGAACTCGGCCCATTTCAACAATTTCAAACTGACTGCAAGAAGTGGCACTGAATCAAGTACTCAAACCCCTCCTTAACTGTCTACTTTCACTCGATAAAAAAGGCTCCATATCACACTTTGACAGTGTGATTTAAAGCCTTTGTTCTGATTGTTTTTACTTACACAAGGAACTGTTGGGACACTATTTGCAAATATATCCATCCTTCCTGGGCTTATTTCATAGTATTTTTGTAGACCTGTATACATTAGGTATCACACTGTTCTCTTGGATTTTAGTTTAAAATAATATTGGCTATTGCACATTGTGTGCAGTAAATCCAGCTACTTTCTAGCTTCTTTACCTTTTGTTGTCATTCATTCTTTCTCAATGCCTTTCCACCACTTTGGAGAAATCAATGATGTCACCAGACACATTTTAACATTGTTTCCTTGTCCACTACTCTTAAGAGTCCTCAATGGCAGATGCTTCCTACTCATGGTATGTGGTATGATGCAGACACAGCCCTGGATTTGAAAGATCAAATTCAGATTCATCTTGGCTTGCAGAGATACCTCTGAGTAAGACAGCCTGCATAAAACCATTTCCTTATGAACATGTTTCTGTATAAACTGCCTGGCTTAATTATTTAGGCACTTAGAAATAACACCAAACCTGAGTCCCACCTTTTTTGTCAGAAACACTTCTTGCCCAGGGGGCCAGTACCTGACCATGGGAACAGAGCAGCTATGACCAAGGGGAGCCACAGATTACAGTGATGCTGAGCTCCAGGCTGGGAGGCAATGGGGTGCAGGAAAAACCTCCCTCTCCAGCAGAAGCAGCCTGAGGGCCCAGCTTTTTCCCCAGTCACCATCACCTGGTGACACTAGCAGATTTACCTCCACAGATTTTCCGCGGGGTTGAGGCCAAAAGCATGTTAACCCAATATGGGAAAAAAGATCTAGTTCTTGAAAGCCTGAGTAAGTGTATCTTTTACACAGAAAAAAGTGTTAAGTACATGCCATACTTTCATACCTGGCTTTCTACCTAAGCAAGGACTAAATCAGTATAGCTGCAGCGGGGTGACACTTACTAAATGTTAACGACACGTCAGTTGTTGAACAGAAGTTATACATAACAGACTACATAAAGACTGCAAATTTCCTTTGCAATGACAAGGAAGTCTACTGAAACATGTAAAGGAAGCACTATTAAATAATTACTGGACTAGTCAACTACCAGAGGGCATGAATGTTTACTACTAAGGTCACAGCCACCCTTACATCAAATATTAGCCAAGTTTCACAGAAGTAAAACTACCCTCTGGCTACAAAACAAGTCTAATCCCAAGCCCTGGCCTTCAGCCTTACAAAGGGACACCAGTAGGAACCGGAAGTCTGTAAAAGGGTGGTTCAGTTTAACCCCTTTTACGTTTTCAGAGTAAGGAACAGAGCGTTGATTTCCACTGTGATGCTGACTGCATGCACAGAGAACACACTTAAGACATTCTTGTTCTTCAAGTCTGGAAAGGGCAGCTTTCAACACCCTTCTCATGTCACCTTTGGAGGACTGGGACTAATGCAGTCATGAAATAGAATCAACTGCAGTACCGTATGGGAGTGGGATTGAAGACCGGTCTTGTTCCTGCCTTAAAGAACTTGAAGGAAACTATGTGCCTCTCTGTCATCTGTGAGGAGCACATTCTCTGGGTAGGGGACGGGAAAGCCAGCCTGCACATAAAGTG